CCCCCATCCTCCGTGAGCTGCACTGGCTCCCTATTGGTCTGCGAACGCGCTTCAAGGTGCTAGTCGTTACTTTTAAAGCCCTACATGGCTACCTGAGAGACCGCCTTCTGCCACATACCTCCCAACGACCAATAAGATCGCACAGGTTGGGCCTCCTCCGGGTGCCGTCGGCCGGACAATGCCGGCTGGCAGCCCCTCGGCGGAGGGCCTTCTCTGTAGCTGCGCCGGTCCTGTGGAATGATCTACCTGTAGAGATCCGGACCCTTCCCACTCTCCCGGCCTTCCGAAAAGCCACCAAAGCCTGGCTGTTCCGGCAGGCCTGGGGCTGTTGATTAATGTCCAGCCCCACTTAGATAGAATGGATGGTGTGTAATTTTAACAACTGTATTTTTATTTTTGAATTTTTAAATGTTTTATCTTGCTCTGTAAGCCGCCCAGAGTCCCACGGGATTGGGCGGCATACAAATTCTATTAAATTCTAAATTCTAAAATTCTAAATTCTTAGCAATCATACAGATGGGCCAACTGGCCTCTCCAGATGTTCCTTTTGACTTTTCAGCCTACCACACAGCTTCCCATTTAAGTACTGCCTTGTTCAGATGTTTGGTATTAGCTAAGAGTTTGCTTCCTGCTGAGAAGCAGGACTCCAGAGCAAGTGGGGTGGATAAAAGTAACTTGTGGAGAAAAGCTTTGATTCCCTTGGCATCTTTTTAATGGCTGGTTTGCTAGTTTTAGCCAAACATTGGAATGCCGTGATTCTAGCATCCTCCCAGAGGAAGGTAGGACTGGGATGGCCAGGTGGATAGCGGAAGGAGAGCAAGGAGGTAGATCTTGCAGGAGAGCCCCAGGTGTCACTTTCCTTGATCTTCTGCTGGGGCTTCAGACCTGAGAAGGGTTGGGGTCAAGCCCTATGGAAGAAATCCCATGGCAGATCTTTTGTGTTGTTCCTGTGGATCCTGGAATAAAAAAGAACCCTTGGATTGACAAAGATTTGTTGGGGTGTTGGCTGGAGTGAGCTTTAACTTGCTTGTTGCTCTTGAGAGAGAGATAATGGGGATGAGGAGAGATTCTGCCTGACTTAGATTTATACTGAGTCTCTAGGGAGAATGTTTCCTGATCCAGGTAGAGCTGTAGCTGGCTACCATCCAGAGACTGAAATTGCAAGAGGTTTGTAAAAGGATTGGGGTGTCAAGATTCCAAATAGCACCCAAAATTAAATCAGAGTCCAAGGCAAAGTATTGCTCAAAGTTCCAATTTATTAAGAGACCTAGGTTGGCACATCTGGGAAAACCCGAATCTGAAAACTTCCCGGTTTTCCCCACCCAGTTGAAAGTTCAAGATCTTGCCCCACACCCACAAGTCCATCACAAGGTCCAATCTTCCACTGCCATGCTCTCAGTTCCACCCATCCAGGTCCGGTCAGGTGCAGAGGTACAGAGATAAAGGATGACCTTGGCTTTCTAGAAGGAATTTTGTTTTGGCTACATAGCATCTCACTCCGTGCAATCCCCCCTCCCATTTTCCCATAATAGAAAAGGCATAGTAGAATAATAGAAAGTGTGGCAGGCCAAAGATCCAAAAGGAATATGGCTGCAGGCCTGACATGGGGCTTCAGTCTTGGGATTGCAGTTGCCATCTTGATTTGGTTTTATTCCTTCTCCGTCTTTTTAGCTTTCACTCCTGCCTGTTGTTTAGTCCCCTTGGAAGTTACCTGCTTAAAGTCTTTTTTTTTTAAAACCAATGTCTTCCAACCTCAGCAACTTTAAGATGGTGGACTTCAAGTCCCAGAATTTCTCAATCTTCTTTAAGAAAACAATGGCTTCCAAAAAATGAGACGTGGAAAAGAGAAATAGCTTTAAGAAGAGATGGGAAAGTTTAGCAAAGGAATCATGC